TGGTCATTGGCCGACTAAGATCTGACGACGTTTACAGTCAGGTGGAGATTAAAGCTGTTAAGATCTTAATGATCCAAAAGACTGCTTTCCCTTTCCTCTTCAATTACTCCTTCCCTTCTTTCTTCCTTTAAAGAGTAAAAGCAACTAAAAACTATCTAAAACCTTTTGAACTGTGCTATGGGATAATAGAGGAAACAGGGATGTTAATTTGGGCAGAATTGGAGATTCAGGGAGGAGATGGGATTTGAGCTATATTTGAAAGATGCTGCATTCTTTTAGTCATTCATTCAAGAAATGGTTACTGAGTGTGCATTAGATGCCTGTCTGTGTGCTCGGTGCTGGGGATCCATCGCTGATGAAGGCAAGCCATACCCGTAATGAGCTTGTAGTAAAGATAGAAGACAGAGAGCTAAAGGGATTACAGTAAAGCAAGACGAGTGTTATCTAAGGGGAAGCACGGGGTGCCATGAAGTATATAACAGGGCCAGCAAGATTGCGACAGGTGACAAAGGGGACATTTAGGGCAGTCCGAGCAAAGGAGGCAGCACAAGCAGGGCTGTAAAGATCCTGCAGCATTTGTAAGTCATCTCCCTTTCCTCTCCAGTATATGTATCATTCACTTACTTAAAAGGATGAGAAAATTATCATTTGACTTCTATTTTTCTGAAATGAACATAATTTTATGTATTTTATATACTTTCTTACTAGAAGAGAATAAAGAACTGTACCTGTGATAATTTATATTGTATACTTGTGATAATTTATGATAGACTGTTATTAATCACAGTGAGTACGTGCTCTGTGCAATTGTTTAGGTAGCCTGTTTTTTGTATGAATAAGTTAAGTGTAAAAAAGAGACCTTTTTTTCCCTTTTTTTTAAGACAACTTAAAGTCAGGAGCTACCTGCAAATCCCAGGTCTCCATAATACTTGTGGCCATTTATTCAGAACCCAGTATGAAACAGAATCATTGGAGTCTTTTTCATAAACCCTTTTTCTATTCTTCAGAACAGTCTTGTAAAGTAGATAACACATTATGCTTATATTGCTGTTTAGAAAAATAGATCTTAACTTAAATAATATCCACAAGGCCATGTAACTGGCTAGCAGAACCATAATTTGAGTTCAGGTCTGTATGACTTCAAAACTGTGCTCTTTCCTCACTGCCTCTCATTACCCCTTCTGCCTGGTATGTGGTCCATTTTGTCCATGTCTCTAGGCAATGTGTTTCAGTTTTCTCCTTGCCCATGACCTTTATTAACACGGGTTAAGCTGTGGCTGTGCTGTGTGTCCACCCCTCTGCCCTGCACTTCCCCCATCCCTGGTCATGGCTGATTGGACCAGGGGCAGTCACTTGACCCAAGACAGATAAGATTCCTTGTCACAGGGTAATTGGAATTGGGCCTGAGAAACAATTTCTGGACAGGCACTTACTCATAACGTGCAAAATCTGCTGTTTTGGGCAGCCTCAGTGTGCCACGTGTATGGAGAACAGTATGGGAAGAGAGTCAGGCAAACACATCGAGGGAAGAAACAGTGAAGGCTTTCTGGTTTGCAGCTCCAGGGCCTTCCCGAGGCCTGGCCACATTCCTGCCTGTAGGTTCCTTGTGCCATTGCCATGTTTGTCCATGGAATTATTTCCTCCCTTTTTGCTTATGGTTGTTGAGGTGATACATACTATGTGCAGCCAAAGATTCCTAACGCAGGAGGTTATGGAGCCTGGGGACACATCAGCATTTAGAAGACAGGCAGACGAGCAGCCAGCAGAGCAGAGCGAGGAGAGGACCCGTTGCCCAGAGGATTGAAGTGGGAGTGTGACAAGGAGGCCACCGAACTGAGTGACGGTGAGGGTGTGAGTGACCCCAGGAAATCCCAGGAGTGATGGTGGAGGCCAAGCTTCAGGAAGTGGGCAAATGGCAGCAGAGAGATGAGTCTGTGAGTTCCGAGAGATTGGCTGTGATGGGAAAGACAGAGACATGTGCTAGTGAGAGACATGGGGTTCAAACTTTTTCCTTTTTCTTAAGGAAGACTTTGAATTTGGAAGAAAGATGACATTATGTGGTTGGAGAGGAGAGGGAAGGCCCTGGTTACACTGCATCCCTTATAATACCACAGTCTGAGAATTGCATCTGGTGCCCAGGACCCTCAAAGGAGGTGGCTTGTGAGAGACTGATAGGCCCCAGGACTGGGTCATTTATTTGGCACCTGTATACATTTAGATGTTGTAACAGCTCCCTCCTCCGGGTGATCCAGGTCTCGGCGTATCCTTTGCCTGAGCATCGCAGCACGGCCATGCTGTATGTGATTCTCTACTTTGAACCTTCCATCCTTCACACCCATCAAGCAAAAGTGAGGGAGATAGTGGATAAATACTTTCCAGATAATTGGGCAAGTATTACTATTGATCTGTCTTTTCTCTACAATGAGGTTGTTGCAGAACTGACTTTGTATTCTTTTGGCCTTTAACTCAGAGGTCAAAATGTTGTAAATAAGGAGACAAAATTACTGGCAAAATTACTTTAAGTGTGTTGAGAATTTTATAAATCATAACATGAAGAAGAAAAAAATCTGAGTAAAATTTCCTGACCAACCTACTGGTTTTTCTCTTCAATGGATACTTTGAAGGTCAAACTATGCATTAAAATATATCTTGCCTTAGCTACTGAGATTATAACTGTTATGTAAGCATTTCTTTGTTCTTTTCTATTTTATGAATCTAAACCATCAGAGTTTATCTAATTTGTCATTTTATGAATAAGAATTTCACTTTTATAATGTTTTATCCCTATGTTAATGTTGATGGGGCTGCTGAAGTGTAAATACTGCAGGAATATGCTGTAACTTTTTAAATGTTTCACTTAAAAGCAGTAATTCTTAAAGGAATAGAACTGACTTAACACACTTAATTTATATGAAATATTCTCTTTGCGCATAGAACTTTAACAAAGTACAGTGAATCAGATCATTTTGTAATTCAGGTAGCAGATTTTCCTTCACTTCTTCCCAGCCATTGAATCACAGATTACCTATGATAAGGGACCTGGATGAGGAGCTTTCCTGGGGAGGACACAGCCTACACAGAGGAGGTGATGCTTTCTATCTAACTAAGAGTGCGTCACACTCATGGGCTAGCAGTTGAACAACCTAGGGGAAAACTCTGGTAGTCTAACTTCATTTGCCTAAGCATAATTAAAGAAGTTTTGACCACAATGTTATAATCAGAAACGGAAGCGCCTTTAATATTAAGAAAGGTCAAAATCCTGTTACATAATGTTTACAAGATGTACTACTTTAAAAAAAACACCCTGGCACATGGAAATAAAGGAGTTAAAAAAAAGATATGTCAGGCAAGTGGCATCCAATAAAAAGCTAGTGAGAAATAATAATATCACACCACAGAGAATTTTAAAGAAAACACATTAATAGGGACAAAGAAGGATCATATGTGTGTGTCATATTAAAAAGAATAATCCACACTCAGTAACATACTCAAAATATATAAAGTGTGAAAACTCAGAATAATGTGGAAAATTTGATTTTTTTCCTTAATGATAGGAAATTTTAATGTACTTCTTTTCTATATATAATCCTGCTCCCCCCAAAATACATAATGGATGTTCCATGTGTATTTGAAAAGTTGAATATGCATTGGATCACGAAGGAAGTCAAAAATTCAACAAAGTTAAAAAAACCAGTGTTAGACTAGGGACTATATTCTCCTGCCATAGTGCATTTGAATTAGAAACCAAAATTAAAAAGATATTTTTAATGTTTGGAAATACATATACTCCCAAATAACTTACATTAAAGAGGAAATCACAATGTAAATGAAAAAATACTAAGACTTGCACCGTATCAGAATGCTACACAGTGAAGCTTATAGGAAATGACTATAACTTGAAGGTGAATACAGAAACTTAAATTCACTTACTTGAAAAAAATTAAAATTAAATGGGTTAGATATTAAGCTTAAGAAGTTAGAAAAGGCAGAGTAAAAGGAAGTTGATAATATACGAGCAGAAAATTTATTGAACTAGACAAAAAGGAAATGAGATCAATACAGCAAAAGCTATTTTGAAAAATGTAATAAAATAGATATTTATTTGGTAAAACTGACTACAGAGAGAGAGCAAGAGAGAAATTTCAATATATTAAGTTGGAAAAAGAAGACCTAGGACAAAGAATTTTTAAAAGTATAAGAAAACCTATGAACAACTTTATGCCAGTACATTTGAAAACTCTGCGAAATGGACAAGCTTTTTAAAATTATAACTACCAAATATGAGTCAGGAAGAAAAACAAAACATGACTAGTCCAGTAACTATGAAAGAAATGGACTTGGTGATCAAATCTCAGTGCCTAATCCACTCCCACCAAAAAGAAAGAATCACCAGGCCACAGGAATTCACAGGTAAGTCTTGGCAGAGCTTCACTGGCTCCCCAGCTTTAGACACACTGAAGTGGGTAGGTACAGAACTGCAAAAATAATGCTGTTTCCTCCAGTCAAGGGATTTTTACAACTTGAACTCGGGACCCCTTGAAATCTCTACCTTCAAGGGGTCAGTGAGGTCAAAACTGTCTTCATAATAAATTAAGACATTCTTTGCCATTTTGCTCTCATTTCTTCCCCAGCATACAGGGCAATTCCAGAGGCCACGTGACAAGTGAACCTGCAGTAGAAACAGAATGTAAATCCAGCTGTCTTCAGTTAAGCCAGACATTACAGAGACTTGAAAAAATATCAGAACAATGCCAGTCTTTTCACAAATATTTTTGGGAAAACTTGAGGTTTTTTTCCTTTGTTGTTAAAAAAATATGTATGTTAGCATGTAAAACAAAAATTTATGTTGTTTTTTTTTTCCTGAGGGCTTTTTTTAAGTTATTAATTGAACATTTAATGGTGCTGTAGGGCCAATTATTATCCTTTTATAGGTGGGGAAACTGAGGTGTGAAGACATTTAGTTACTTGCCCAGGGCTACACCACAGGCAGTGCTGGGCTGGACCCCAGCAGGCTCTTTACCCGCCAGGGGATTTCTAACGACCCGCAGAGCCTACATCCAATGGTGGAGCCAGACTGAAGTCCCTGATTCGTTTCTCCTCCCTTCTTTCCAGCGGTCCCTCGCGCGGGCTGTCCTGAGAGCCCCACCCCCACCCCACCCCCTGCTCCTGGAGTCTCTGCCCCATATCCTCCCCTTTCTCAGTCCCCTCTCTCCTTCTGTGGAAGCATATCCTCAAATAACATTCTCAGGAAGGTAGATCAGAGGAAATGCGAGTCCTTGTGTGGCAGAAGCAGCCACAGCATCCCCTGTCCCAGCACCCTGGCTGGCCCTCGGCAACAGGACTTCCCCTTATTCACATCAAGAGACAGGGTCCCTTTCTTCCCCCGGACGCTGTGGTAGCGTCGGGATTCACTCGGGTCGGAGGGCTCTTAATGACACGTCGTGAACAGCGGACTGAACAATGCTGGTGTGCGGCCTTGACCTCTGTTTCTGCTCTGAGAACCGCTTCTGTGCCGGGAGGTGCGGACTTGCTCTAGGGAGGCCCGCGTCATCCTGGCTGGCCACCAGCAGCCTGGAGGTGGGGTGAAAAGCCCAACAAGACCTGCAGTAAACAGCCCCCGGGGCCAGCCAAGGCACAAAGCCTCAGGCCAGGTCAAGGGTGTCTCGGTCACTACGTTTTGGGGTGGTTGTCAGGTGGGAGTAGGCAGGGAGACAGCTCACAGGCCCGGAACCTTCTTACGCTTGCTGGATGGCAGGCTGGGGGGTGCTCGGCGGGCGTTTCCCCCTTGGGAGTCCGCTGGGGGCCGTGCGGTCCGCAGCTGCCCTGAGCAGGCCACGAGCCACGGCTGGTCTTGTTAATGTCGGCACGCGTGTTTTACATTTCTGAGGTATTGCTCGTTCGGGAGCCCCCGGTTCTTTTTTCAGAGCACGCAGTTCTGTTTTAGGGGCAAAGTGGCTTTGCAGGGAGGGGGCTTTTGGGTCCTGCATTTTCTCTTTTTTCTTTGTGGGTTTTTTTTTCTTTTCAGTCGTGGGACCTCCTAGCAGGCACTGTCTTCGGGGTCTGGTCTGCTCTCCTTTCCGCTCCTGTATGCGAGGGAGGTCGGAGGTCAGGAGGAACCCCCAACACGCTCTGTCCCCGTTAACTTCCAGAGCTGTCCGAACATCCGAACCTCAGGCCCCTGCAAGGAAGTCCTCTTGCCTCTGAGCAGACCGGTCCTGCTGTCGCTCTGCCATCTGGAGGGACAGCTGGGGGAGCCCCCGTGTCACCTGCCGTCCTGCCCTTGTGCCCCCCTCTCTGTGATGCTGGATCGGGGCGGCCATGCCAGGCCATCCCTGATCGGCCTGTTTTCTGGCCCTCGCTTCATCCCCACCCAGCCGTCCTGCCAAGTCAGTCCTGACCTCCGCCAGGAGTTGGTCAGTCCCTTGTCTTCAGACTGTTATTTCTCCTGTCCTCTTTGCCACATGAGGCAGATATGCTGCAGGGGCTGCAGGTGGACGGCTCACCAAGAGGCCATGGTGTGACGGGCCACAAGCTGGGCTGGCTGGACACGTGGGGCCCCTGCCCGTGGAGGCCCGTCTGGCCTAGGGCCGGGCGGCACCTGGCAGCCTGTCACTACAGCTCTGGCTGGAAATGAACCAGGAGGGGCTGCATCCGGAGCCCAGCGCAGGCATCAGCTGCAGAGCCAGCTCGGGGTCCACTCGGCCATTGGAGGGAGGCACCCCCGGCCTCTACCCTGTCGCCCCTTTCTGGAGTCTCATGGTTCTCAGCACGTGCACAGCTCAGAGCATCCCTCTAGGGCTGACCTGGGGCGGCAGCCAAGGAAGGCTCCCCGGAGGACCCTGAGGCAGGGAGGCCCCAGGAGGCCGGTAGGGGAGCGGCAGGGTGTGGGGGCTGAGTCCTGCGCCCCATGCCTCCCAGCCTGCCAGGGGCCAGCAGAGGCCCAGAGATGTTTGATGAGGAGAGAGAAGAGGTCCATGTTTAGTGTTATTTTAAATTAATAATTTTTTCTTAATTTCTCAGTTTTAATGTGTAATATGATAAATATTATTCACTATAACCCCCATTTAAAGAAAAATTCTTTGGGGTCCTCAGTAACTTTTTAAGGGCTGAGATTAAAATATTTGAGCTCTAGTCAACGTCTCTGCTTTTTTTCCAACCTTGATTTAGCATTTTTCCATGAATTAGTAGCAACAATTCATTCTTGCTCCAAAGTGTTCCTAAGGAAGAACTCTCACCTATTATGTATTTTGAAACCCTTAGTTCTTCAGGGATGGAGTTTAAACTGGAAGGAGGGGGCAATGTCTTCTCTAATTTTGCCTTGAAGTGAGTAGGTATTTAACAAATACTGAATGAGTGTCTCCTCTTTCAGGTAATTAGTATTTACATGGGGATCACAGTGAATCTAGCAGATGCTTGGGAACCTTACAAAGCTGCAAAAACTGCTTTAAACAATACTCTAGACCTTTCAAATGTCAGAGAACAGGTAGGTCTGGCTAATCGAGAAGGATTCTGTAAAAACTGTAAGCCTGCTTTCTGGGGTAGGAAATGAGTTAAGTACATTTCCCAAGGAATTTGGGTGATGTCCACATAGACATTTCAGTGCAATGATTAATGAAAGGTGAATTTTTCACATCCAAATAAGATAGGTGATTACAGGTTTTTAACTTACGTGAGTATTTGTAAATGAGAGACTTGGGTTCTAAGGAGGAGTCAGCATCCTAAGATGAATCAGTAGGTCATATGGCTCCAGTTGGCTTCACTTATTCTTGTTAAACACCTTCTCCTATGGATAGAACTGCTTTCACAATGAGCTGGAATTTTAGTCTTTTCATTAGTAGGACAAATGTTGAGGATGGTAACCGAAGGTGTACAACATGCCCTACCATGCCCTACCATGCCCTGTCATTGTAATTTCAGTTCATTTCTGATGTGCAAAATAAGCAGCAAGACTCAAGACATTGATCTCTAAATGGCTGCATTCTGTCCCTTTGATTAGCGCACAAGGCAGAAGAAAATACCTGAGTAAACAGAGGAATAAAAAATAAAGCCTTTTAATAGGGAAATACCCTTGACATTTCTAAACAGTTGCCTTCCTCAGCCTGGCTGCCTGAGTTTTTCAGTTTCTAGTGGGGATGGAGCAATATTGACTCAACTTCAGCATGTTTTATTCAAATAACTTGAATTCCATAAATAATTCACAAAAGACAGTATCACCGTTGGCATATCTCCTAGAAATATATTAGAGAAAGTGTCACTTCCTATGCTTACTGGCATCATAGCATTAATTTTTCATTACTTAAATTACTTTCTAAAACTGCAATTGCTTATTGGCAACATTTTAAGAGGTTCTCAAAGTCTTCTGATGAAACACCTTATAATAGTTTTAAACTAAACTGACTAGGTTAAGGCTGTTTTAACATTTAACTCTTGCTTCAGGTAAAGCAGACAACCAAATTTTTAAAAGGCTGGTTTGAAAATTCAGTTTTGCCCTCCCGCAGTGTACTTTGTCAAGCTTTCCTATGCCTGCAGAAGTCTCATCTCCTGAGGTTTCTGCTCTGCTCTGCTCTCTCATCGGCAATAACAGGGAGAAAGGCAATCGAGCTGCTCCCTTTATGTCTCTTTTCTGTCCAAGTTAAGAATAGAAAGGGTCCTAGGAACCGCTTGATTCTCTTCTCCAGTTTACATTTGAAGAAACCAACATGCAAAGGTTAAATCTGAATTCACACCAATAGTTAATGTAAGCACAGCCAGAATTCGGATTTAGAGTTCTCTTAATTCTAAGTCCAGTGCTCTTTCAAAAGTGTCCAATAAACCACTCGCCTTTGAGCCTTATCCACTGTAGCCTGTATGTTACTCATCTCATGTAGAAATGTTATCTGTCAAGGGATCAATTTGAATGTGATTCACTTTCAAGATAAATAATTTTCTTTTTTCATGTAATTCAAGTTTTTTTTAATTTTCAAAGGCAAGCAGATATGCAACTGTCAGTGAAAGAGTACATGCTCAAGTGCAACAATTTCTGAAAGGTTATTTGAGGGAGGAGATGGTTCTGGACAATATCCCAAGGCTTCTGAACTGCCTGAGAGACTGCAACGTGGCCATCCAGTGGCTAATGCTGCATACAGCTGACTCAGGTAATGGAAGAAAGGGGTGGCCATTTATAGCACCCTATAGAAAGGCCTTCAGAATTAAGATCTACTGCATGATGCAAAGCTGGTTAGCCCTTGGTTGAGAATCAAGTTGCTTTTCTAAGTTGTTTGTGTGTCTACTTGGACAAGTCAACAGCCCACCTGAACAGCCCCTTATCACATACTGTTAGGTGCTAGGGAACATGAAGAAATTTACCTCCACATTCAAGGAACTTGTCACTGGTCACATTGGGGAGATTGGACGTATATGTATGAAAAAGTATAGCTGCAGATCTGCAAAAGGCAGAATAATGCATTCCCACCCCCTCTCTCAAGCATGCCCATGGCCTAATCTCTTCAACATGGGGCATGGTAGCAAAGGGGGAGTAAGGTTGCAGGTGCAACTAATGTTGCTGGTCAGCTGACTTTGAAGTAAGGAGATTATCCTGGATTTTCTTAGTGGGTCTAGTATATTCATATAAGAATCCTTAAACTGAGAAGGAAGCAGAAGAGTCAAAACTAGAGAAACCCATCATGGAAGAGACTCAGCAGGCCACTGCTGGCTGTAAAGATGGGACAGTCCACGAGCCAAGGAGCACGGGCAACCTCTAGATGCTGAAGAAGACAAGAGAACAGATTTTCCCCTAGATGCCCCCGAAGGAACCCAGCCCTGCTGACTCCCTGATTTTCTTTAGCCCAGTGAGACCAGTGGCAGACTTCTCATCTCTGGAACTGCAAGAGAATAAATTTGTGTCATTTTAAGCCACTGAGTTTGTGGTAATTTGTTGCAGCCACTATGAAAAACTAGTCAAAGGGCCAAGCCAGGAAACAAAAGCCAGATGTGTGAAACAGACGGTTGATGGGATCTGAGTCCAGAGCAGGAGAGACAGTGGAGGGGCGGAGGTGACTGGGGCAGGCTCCACGCAGGAGGCAGGAGCTGACCGCCCCTTGCTAGGACTTTGAAGTAAAAAGAATTCTAGACTGGAGAAACAATAGAAAAAAGGTGTGATTTTGGAAGTACAAAAAACATGGGCCCATTGAGCTAGACAAGAGTGCTTAATTACAGAAAGTTGGATCTTAGTGTTTTCTGGGTCATGGTCCTCTTTGAGGCCCCATGGGCCATCAAGTCTAGTTGTTTCACAGATTACATGAGATGCCTCCACAGGGTCTGAGAGACCATGACTTTAAAGCCCCTGGTTTAATAGAAAAATAAGTGGGTTAAGCTAACTGGAGTTTGTTCAGAGCTGATGCAGTTCCTTATATGTAGTAAGTGCTTGATCAACATAACTCAGGGATTCGTTCATCCAGAGCTGTGTGCCCCTTCCCCTAAGACCCCTAAGAATCGTGTTGTTCAGCATCCCTGGAGAGCCTCTGCTTTACTTTTTTCATCAACGGTTTTCTTGAGAACCTACCCTGAGAAGGGTACTGCTTTCAACACTTCCTTGTTCTCTCAGGTAAAGCTGTGTCTCTAAAAAACTGTTCACACCAGACTATTCTGCAGCCTGCCCTGTAACACAGTAGCCCCATCTCAAGACTCTCAGGCAAGGTGTTCTTCAGTCCCCCTCGCTGCCACGTGTCCGCTTCATGGGGGTGGGGCAGGGAGGACAGGGGTTGGATTTCTTCATCCCTCACAGCTGAAAATGAAATTTCTCCTCAGCCTTCTCTCTTCATGCTAGAAATCTCCGTCTTCTAAACTCTTCCTCATAAGCGATGCTTCAAGTTTTGTTTTGTTTTTCTGCCTTTTGCATGTTGGCCTAGAGCTTGCTCCAAATTAGTTTACTCAGAGCATGAATACCATGGCTAAAGTTCTAATCATCTAATGGACCTGTTTTTAGTTGAGTTTATTTTTTACATAAACTCCAGTTCTAATTTGAGGATTTTACTACGTTGACTCAGTTTGTAATCTTCTTTACCAAGAGTCTTACTTTCTCAGGCATATAAACAACTCAAGCCCTTGATTTATCCTATCATAAAACTAACTGCTGTTTTACAGTGAGTCAGCCTCATCTTCATCTTCCTATGTCTGTGCCTGACAGTCGAGCCTGCATTCGGGGAGCCAGTGGTCTCCTGGATTGCACCCCTCCAGGGGCAACCTCAGTCTGCCAGAGTTCTCTGCTTTTATCTTCAGCCACATCTGTTTTCCGTGTTTGTCCCTGACCACTGTCTGACCTGACTGCGCAAGGTCATAACTTACCAGAAACAAACGGTTTACCTATCTGGTTGTGAGTCATATGTGGGAAAAGTAACTGCTTATTTAGCTTTTCTGGTGTTGTGATCATGGTGTGCAGGAAGAAAGGCATATTTCTCATACTCCCTCTGGTTGACCTGCTACAGGCATTTCACACAGGCTCTGGATGCTTCCGCAGTGCCTTGTAGCTGCTGAGGAAGCACACTCGGAGTCAACATCATCTAGGCAAGGCCGGCCTGCTGCAGTCTGACCCCAAGGTCGCCAGGATTCCCGCCGTTCTCTGGGTGTGAATTCTGGAGGGTCAGATCTTCTAGGGGAGATCAGGCCTGACAATTGGAACCAAGCCTGGCTTCTACCACGGAATTAATTGTCAATGTGTAGAGCTGTCCCCTGTCCAAAAATGAAAGCCAATTAATACCAGAATGTTTCTTGAATTACAAGTAGTATATAGACAGGTGGAAGTCCTTACAAGGTTGCCTTTTGCTTTTTAGTTAGGCAAATGTGAAGCTGAAAAAAATTGTCTATGTAAATAAATACCTTCCCTGATAAGTCCTGGAAAACACATGGTAAGTCGCCACTGCAGTTTCCCTTGAAAACTGAGCCCCTCTCCAGGTTGTCATGGTCTCCTTCTGATGGAGAAACTTAGAAATCAATATATTAAATGGCCTTCTGCAGGCTTCCCCGTAACTGAAGCACCAGAAACGCCCCTGACATACACTCATACAGCATCGTCATTCTGGACATGCCCGACACCCTGAGGTACCAGACGGAGGGCCGGGAAAGCAAGGACGTGCATGTGTGGTACTAGAACAGCTGCCAGGGACCTTGGACCTTATCAGCTGTGACCTTTTTGACAGTATTTATGGTCTTAAATTTTTGATTTTGACTATTTGTACTTTGACTTCTAAATATTTTTGCCTTATCCTATTTTCTCACTCTTTCTTAGAGAAGTAATTGTGCCCATAAGCCAATTGCAGCAAATAATGGCAGTTTTTTATTCTCTCTACTTTTTCTTTTTTAACATGTTGTTTATTTTGTTTGAAATAGTTTAGCTTGGCGGCAGCTGGCAGGCTGAACAGGGAATCAGGACATCAGTGATACGGTCACTCACTGCTGTTTTGGAAGCTTGGTCTAGTCTCCCTGGGCCTCGGTAGTGGACAGTCCAGAAAACTGAGTGCCGGCCATACCCTCTGGCCTTTACAAGGAACAGAAGAGTCCCAGGTCTGGTTGGCAGTGCCACATGTTCGTGTGGGTATCCCTTTCCTCTGCTGTGTCTGGGCACCCCAAGACCACTCCAGCTTCAGTAATTTGCTAGGAGGACTCAGCATATACTAGTACTCATGGCTATAATTTATTACAGCAAAAGGATAGAAAGCAAAACCAGCCAAGGGGAGAGGTGCAAAGTCTGGAGGAAACCAGGCAGAACCTTCCAAGAGGCCGCACATGGGACACGTTTACTTACCCCAGCAGTGGGTTGTGACAGCATGAGTGAGATGTTGCCAACCAGGGAAGCTTGTTAGCAGCTCAGTACCCAGGGCAATTATTGGGAGCTGGTGTGTAAGCCTGGAACCTACCCAAATTTCAGTCTCCCCAAAAGGAAAGCAATGGTTGATCATAAGCCACATTGTACAAACAGAAAAGCCATTATCAGACCATTTTTATCGGCTCTCGAAATGGCAGAACTTCAAAAAATCCAAGTTCCCACATGTCAGCCAAGGGCTGCTCTTTTTTCAACTGTATATCACAGGCGACATTTCATGTCAGATCCAGTTGTCATATTTAGTAGTTTAGTTGTACTTAACTCTGTAGCATACATGTCCTATAATTTATCGTGCCGTTACCAATACACATTCTGCTTATTACTTCATAAATGCTTAAAATAAATGAAAATGAAGGAAAGTATTTAAGAACTCACACTTCATCAATATTTTCTACACATTTAATAAATTGGAAACTCTTCTCTTCCTATGTCTAGCCTGTAACCCAAACAATAAACATCTTCGTCAAATCAAGGACCAGATTCTCAGACTCTAGGTACAATCCCAAGATCCTCTTTTAGTTGCTGTTGGATACTGCACAATTTGAGTTTATACTTAAGGAGGTAAAAATATTGAATGAATAATCAATTCTTAGGTTTGTTCAATGCTTAAGAAGATAAGGATTCGGTAGCTTCGTCTCTGATTCATGCCACAGATTCCAGCTGTCTAAGATAGTTCTTACAGAAAAAGGACAGGTTACACATTTAATGAGCATTTCATACCTACTGTCCTTGGGGATACAGTGATGGAAAAGTGCACAAGATTGTGGAGTACAGGCTAGTGAGGAATATGGGCATTAATCAGAGAATCACGCTGATGAAAAATAAATATAAACTGAGATACACACGCTCAAGGAAAGGAACCTCATTCTGCGAGTACCAGAAATAAGGGGTGTTGTACTAGCCTTGACGACTTCCCTAGGAGAAGCGAGAGCTTCCGAAGGGACCTGGAGAAGCAGCCTGCGAGGGTTAGCAAAGAGAAAGGCTGGGAGCATGATGAACATTCTGGAGAGAGGACGAACATGTCCAAGTCCTGGGTGGGAAGCAGCATGACCAGTTCAAGGACCTAAAAGACCAGCTGGCTGGAGGGAAGAGAATAAGAAATAAAGGTATGAAATGAGAGTTGGGGAAGAGTGAGCCCCCTGCCTGCCCTTGCAGGATTCCAGTCTTCACCTGAAAGGCCAAGAGAACCTATTAGAAAGGTTGTAAGTAGGATGGGTAGTTTGCATTTAAACAAGGTCAACTTAAGGACTTTAAAGATTTTGAATTCACTGGAGGAAGTTCTGAGGTTATTCTTATCCCGCAAGAAGCCTCTTTGGATATAAGACTGGTAAATACCCAGGAATGCCAGCACCAGCAACCTTGGGGGTTTGGGTCAGGTGGGCCCAGGAACTAGCCCCAAATATTAATGCCCATTTAGGACCAATACTCACCTTGACTCAGCCTGGTTAGTGGTATACAACATGTTTCTTTATCTTCTAAGTATGTGAGGACACTGTTTTCCCTATTTAGTAGCCCAGGAAAAGTAGATACTGATTCTTAACATGTTAATGGATGTGCTGAGTGTTTTCAGTGACTTGTTTAAGTGTAATTTTATAAGATCAGAGAAGTGCTATCCCTTTTTTAAAATTTTTATTTATTTTTTTATTAAGGTATGATTGATATACACTCTTTTGAAGGTTTCACATAGAAAAACAATGTGGTTACTGCATTTACCCATATTATCAAGTCCCCACCCATACCCCAATGCAGTCACTGTCCATCAGTGCAACAAGATGCCACAGATTCACTATGTGAGAAGTGCTATCCCTTTTTATCTTTTTAATAATGTTAATGTTTCCCCTGTGAATAAGCAAAGTATTATTGAATACCTACTCTGTTCCCAACTAGGTGCTAGGAATCTAAAAGTGAACAAGGTATATCCGTACCCCCAAGGAGCTCTCAGTATAGTCAGGAAGAGTGACAGATTAAGCCAAGATAAAAAACCAGGAAAGATCCAAGAGCTGGAACCAGGCATCTTATTAGCTGGTCAAAGTAAAACTGGCCTTTCAGAGGCAGGTGAATTGCCCCCAAGGAAGAAATGTGCTCCAGTTAGCGTCCTGACCTAAGTTAATGCTAGTGACCCAAGAGTTGTTGAGATCAGGACAGATCTGGGTCATCTGCCTGAACAAGCCTGCTTTCCAATCATAAATCTTTACCTGGAATCTATTGGAATAGAATGGGCAGCTCCCTTCTGTCTTTTCAGGTAGCAGAAAAATAAAAGCCTACAGATCAATCCAAGTTGTTGTCAGAGATCTTTGAGGAGAGAAAGATCTGGTCGAAAGAAAAGAAAACCAACTACGCAATACAAATCGATCAAAACGAGGATACATTTGAATTTCTGACATTACAGCTTGGTCCTTTAACTTGTATTTTCATTTGTCCCCCCGACCCCAACCCTTTTTCTAGAATCCCTTTCTGATTCTCCTCCTATAAACACACCAATTGGTTCCATGTTTTTTCTCATCTTTATATGAAGATGCAGCTCCTAATTTAAGGACCATCCCCTATCCCAAATCCCATCTTACAAGATAAGAAATCTGAGTTCACTCTGAGGGAGTATTTGAAGAGCTGAAGCCATTTGGTCCATAAAGAAGATCTCGGGGTGAAGTTTTTGCTGCTTTGTCCAATGGCATTGATTGATCCAAGGCACTCAGATAGAGCAGACTGTATAAATAGTGCTCACTGTTCCCATCTTATGACTTATCATTTCATTGATTAAGCATCCTGCCTGGTTACTAAATTCCTCTTCACTGGCCTTGCAGAATCCCCCCAATTCTGATCCTTTCATTGGCAGATGGAGTCTGCTGCCCCGTTGCTCATCTTTTCAATATTCATTGTGAGGCTGAGGAGCAAAGGATTTAAGAGGAAAATGAGCACTTACGTATACTTACCTCTTAGGAGCTCAGTGAAATAAACCTCCATACCTTTGTACATACCTTAGATATGTTTTTAAATTTTGTTTCCAGAAAAACAAAAACCAACTAACCCTGAGTTATACCATTTCCTCCTGTGTTCGACTCTGTAAGTTTAAATTTTATGAATGAGTGAATTAATAATCAGAATTATTGGATAATCAAAGCAAGGAAGAATTTTTTTAGGTGACTTAATTCATTCTCCAGTTGTCAGACAAGATAATACTCAAGTCTTCCCTGACTAATTAAATTAGAATCATAGAAATTGTTACCTAGAAAAGACCTTAGAGCAATGGTCATCAAGTTTAATTTCACATTGGAAATGCTGCTTCCTGGGCCTACACAAGACCTGAACCAGAATCCTGCTGGGTGGAGCATGGGATTCTGAAAATGTTAAGGCTGTCCAGGTGATGGACAGCCTTAAAGCTCTCAGAGATGCTCTAGCCTTGCCCCTCAGTTCATTTGAAGTAGTAAGGCTTAAGAGATGGCCTCGGGGTAATGTTCAGGCATATATTTTTGTAAGTTGGGTTTCACACAGGCTTTCTCAGGAAACTGCCCAATCTGGATTTCTTCTTAAGTAAATCTCTTCTGTCTCTTCAACAGATGTTCAAGCAAATGCTCTCAGAAAAGCAAGCCAAATGGGAGCATTACAAGAAGGAGGGCTCAGAGCGGATGATGGAGCTTGCTGATGTCTTTTCAGGAGTGAAACCCCTAACCAGGGTGGAGAAAAATGGTAATTGCTAAAGAGGCATATCTGTGTTCGGAATGTATACACAGACTGTTGGAAACTGGCAAAGTAGAAAGTCATTATGTTGGTAACATCTTTGTATTGATTTTAACATTGCAAATGAAGGTGGGAAGTTTAGTTTGGGCTGCCTCTAGCTTTGTGCTCCTTTGAGTGGTCTGTGTCACGCCCCTATAGTTTTCTATAGTTTTCTTGTCCTCAATATATGTTAGGCTAAATCAGGGTTTCTAATTCTGTGGTTTTTAGATGCCTTATAGAGTCATAATGCACCCTCCCCCACACTTACCAAAGTATGCAAAACTCATGTGTCAGCTCATGTGCACTTGAGGGAAGGGGAAAACCTCTTAACTCTCACCATCTCAGAAGAATATACTTCATCCAACAATAATCGCTAGGTGATAAAGGTTCTTTTTCATCTACGTGCCTGCCATCTACTGGCATAAGAGGGGACATGCAGACTGGATTTGAAACTAAACGTAACTCATTTACTTTTATTTTAATCCTGCTGCTTTTAGGAAATTTTATCTACATGAAAATTGTTGTATCACTTAAATTTTTCACATAGGTAGAAACCTTTCAAAAATGCCCCTGAAAGATCATTTTGATTTTTAAGATAATAAATCGAACTATTTTTTTTAATGCTCTAATAGTTAAAGCTGTCAAATTCATTTCCAATAGTTAATTATGCTGTGAAACTGCTTAATAATATAGCTTTTTATTTTTAGAAAATTACTATTTATAATCAATATGAGCTTGCTTGCATATGTCAGTAAGAACTAAGTGTGTAAAGGATTAATTAAATTCAAAGCCACAGCTATGGGAATTATGGGATTCAGTAGTCTTTCCTTGTCTCTGTATTAATAGAAAATCTTCAAGCTTGGTTCAGAGAGATCTCAAAACAAATACTGTCTTTAAATTACGATGATTCTACTGCTGCAGGCAGAAAAACTGTGCAACTGATAGAAGCTTTGGAGGAGGTAAGGAAAGTCTTTTAAAATGACAGTTCTTGAATCAGAAATCATACTTTCTGACCAACCCAGCAATCTGCTTCTGGAAATATATCTAAGGGACTATTTCGTCAGAAGCAGAAAAGTACAAAAAAAGCAAAATATGCCCACTGTGCTACTATATACAGTGTCCTAAAATTGGGGAAATAATTAAATGACTAGCATGAAGAGAATGGTAGTGAAAAGTTACATTTCAACTGGTGGAAACATGTAATCTTGGAAAATTAATTATGAAAACAACATAGAAACATTGGCGAAATTGTGGTAAAGTAGTAAAAGCAAAAATAAAATTGCACTGCATGTCTCATTTTTAGGTTGGTAAAGACTGTAGACCCAGGGCAAAACTGTAAAGGAATCCACAAGAGTGAAGATAGTTGTATAATGATCATATTCCTAAAGTTTTAATTGTATGCTTAGCTAAATTTAAAATAGAAAATAAACCAAAGTATCAGAACAATAACCATGAGGTCTGTTATTTAAAACATCATTCAATACTTATCTGGAACCCTGTCCAGTTGATGTACATATATTTTTAGAAATATAATAAATATTGTTTTCATTTGATGGACTTTCTTAGCAGACGTTTTCTTATTTTTATGAGGTTTTTACAATCATCACTTGTTAATGGCAGCACAATATAGTACTCCGTTGTTAGCATTTCAGCTTCCCAAGCCATTCCAAACAATCCCCACTTGTACTATTTGGGTTGTTTTTTGGACATTCTAGTCTATAGTACAACTACAAATAACTTTGTAAATCTCAGATGCTTTTATCTTTTCCATTATTTATTTTGGTAATAGCCCAGACCCTTTGAATCATATATATTAAAATTTATATATGAATAAAATATATATAGCATTATATACATTAAAATTTCAGTGGAATGTTTTGATTTAAATACATCAAAAACTTAAAAATGTGCAAGTGCCAACACCCCACTTGTGAGTTGACTTCGTTTTTTAGCAGTCCTGCAAATCTTCAGAATGAAGAGGCTTCTCCAGTATACTTTTATTGATACTAAACTGGAAAGTGGAAATAGTCACTTATTATGTCATATATGTACAGGAAAATAAGCAGTGGGACATTTCCTAATTCTAGAACTTTGTGTCGCCTTTTCTGACCTGGCTTATACAGTTCTGAAATTATAATTTGAAATTAAAAATTTGCCAAAAAATTCTTAGTAAGTAGTGTGCTTTATTTTAGGTGTTTTGAAGGAAAAATAAACACCACAGAGGCCACTCAGAAGTTTTAATTAAATGTATTTATGTAACACAGGTTCAAGAATTTCACCAGTTGGAATCAAATCTGCAAGTATGTCAGTTCCTTGCTGATCCTCGCAAGTTTCCCCACCAAATGATTTGAACCATTAACATTAAAGAGGAGGTCCTCATCACAATGCAGATTGTTGGGGACCTTTCTTTTGCTTGGCAATTAATTGACAGGTAACGTGGACAGCCTAGCATTTGCCATTGATGAGGGCCACGATGAGCATCTCCTTACCATTTATCTCTTTACAGTTTCACATCTATCACGCAAGAGAGTGTAAGGGTAAACCCATCCATGGTTACTAAACTCAGAGCTGCATTCCCAAAGGTAAGCAGAGAGCAGTGAAAACAGTCTCAGACACCAGGGGAGAGTTGGTCTTCGTTATTACTTCATTAATTCAGCCCAAGAATTTTATCCTTTCAGAAAGTTAGATAATTTGAGTATTTTTATAGACTGAAAAGTTGGCAATTTTTCCATGAGAGCACACTTTCAATAGATGCCATAAATATTTAACGTTTGAATTCATAAGTTGCAGTGTCTAACATAAATTATTTTTAAACTAAATAATTTTTTAAAATTTTACCAGTATATAAAAAGGGCTTCTGTCGTGAGTGGCACACGTGGGGCAGCTCGTATGCTCTTCGTGCGGAATCGACATCAAGAGATTTCGGAAGCATAATTTTTTGGTACTTGGGCAGCTAGTGATCGTTGGTCCTGGAGCCCCCAAAAAAAAAAAAAAAATTTTACCAGTATACTAAAAATGTGAGTCCCAGAGTCCTTTTTCTCTAGACATGAATTGAGTCCTTTTATTTATTCATTTAAAACATTCTTGTTGAGGCTCTGCTCCAAAGTAGGATCTCCTCTGAGGTCAAGGAGTAGTGGTGAACAACACAAGCATGGCCCTTGCTCACGAGGTAATTGCAGTTTGTGATAGGTGAACAAATAATTTACTCAGCGACTTCTGATGGAATTACCATGAATATCAGTTCTGAGGTACACTTTCTTTCATGTTTAATTGGGGTTACGCTTTATAATTGATGGAATATCCTAGTTGAATTGTCAACATGTTTTTTCTTTGTGAATAATGCATAAAGTAATGAATGGCACTTCTTATTTGCCATGATGTCTTAGATTGTACTCAGTACAGTAGTCTCATCAACCAAGACGTCTGATTTTTTTCCAGAGACGAATAGCTGTCTACCGTAGCACCGAGAGACGAGCAGCTGTCTACCATAGCACAGAGGCTGTCAAACTTGAGGGGTGTCAGAGTCACCTGGAAGTCTTGTTAGAGCCGATTGCTGGGCCTCTCCGTCAGTCTCTGATTAAGTCAGTCTAGGGTGGGGCGTGAGAACTGGCATCTCTACATCTCTAACAAGTTCCCAGGTGATGCTGATGGTGCTAGTCCAGGGACCACAACTTGAGAAGCACTGTCATCCAGATGACATTTTTTTTTAATTATATTGTTGTGAGAAACCATTAATTGGCATTGATAAGTTCAGTGATCTTTGGTCTGAGTAAAGCCCAGAGGCATTGTTGTACGTTACTACTATTCCTGGAAAGAAAGAGATTTCTAGGACTTTTTGAGAAACGTGTATATGTGATTTTTCTTCCAGCTTGCCTCTGCCCTTGATCTTCCCCTTCTTCGTATTAATCAAGCAAATAGCCCTGACCTCCTCAGTGTGTCGCAGTATTATTCTGGAGAACTGGTGACCTATGTGAGAAAGGTAAGAAACGTATCAAGATGATGTTTATTTTTTGCACATGTGTTTTTATTTTCAAAGAACTTTTACACCTGCTTTATAAATGCTAGTGGTAGTAACCCCATTTTATAGGTGTAGAAACTGAGAAACAGATTACAGTGGTTTCTTCAAAGTCACAGAGCTAGTTGGTAAAAGACGCAGATCTAGATCCAATATGTCCTAGTCACAAGTTAAGTTTTCAGGGGAATTTTGGTCCTGGTTTCAGTTACATATGGTGTAGCATGGAAGCAAATAGGCCTGGATTCAAAATTTACCTGGGTCACATACTAACCTTTGTGACCTTTGGCCATTGTACTTAACATCTCTGAACCTCAGTCTCCTAAAAATGTGTCATCTGAAAAAGATACATTTTTTTGCAGCATTTCTATGAGGATTAGCTTTATATCCTGTGAGCAAATAATATTTGAAGGCATGTAGCCCTGGACCTGATAGCAGTTATGAAAAAAGCTCTTTGAAGTCCCTCAGCATCCCTTGCAATAGACCAATGGCTGTTTGCACACACTGGTACCCTTCCTCCTGTCATCCTAGCATTTTTTAGCAAAGAAAAATAAATGTTCAACTGCTTTTCCTCTTTTCCCTTTCACTAAAGGTTTTGCAGATCATTCCAGAAAGCATGTTTACTTCTCTTCTAAAGATCATAAAGCTTCAGACTCATGATATCATTGAAGTGCCGACCCGCCTGGACAAAGACAAGCTAAGGGACTATGCTCAGCTTGGCCCACGATACGAAGTGGCGTGTCTCTTTGACTTTTCTGCCTTTTGATACTTAAAACCCAAACCATGGAATGTCCCAGGTCTGTGTCACCTGCCGTGTCCCCAGGACCACCAGACCAGTTTGGATTTATTTTTTCCCACTCTCAGTGTCCAGTCACCACATTTTGAACCATTGTCAATTTCATGTCCTCTGACACAACTCCAAACTTTACATCAGAAATTTAAATTTCCATGCTTATTCTAACTCAAAAATATAGCATCTGTTTACCTTATCAATATCTCCTTGTGTTGCTTGAAAAAAAATAGAGGGCAGTAAAGGGGAGATGACCTCAGAGTCTTGATTAGCCTTTTCTACTCAAAAGGGACCATCCGTGTTACTACCTCCTGCCCTCATATCTACATAAGAAACTGAGGCTCAAAGAAGGGGAATTGATTGGTCAAAGTTTAAAAAAACATTTAATGTCTTCTGACTCAGTGTCCCAAAATGTCTAATAGTGATCTCTCAGTTATACCACAAAGCCTCATTTCTGCCTGGGGAAATATATGTAAATAAATACATTTATATTTACATTTATATAAATAAAGCTGCATACTCATTCCTGTTGTCTTTGCCCATTGCAGGACTATTAGCCAGTTATCTTAGCTTCCTGTAGAAATGATGGGTCTTTTGTCTGAAATACTTCATTAACCTCTTTTTTCTTTTTTAAAAGTTGCCAAACTTACTCATGCTATTTCCATTTTCACTGAAGGCATCTTAATGATGAAAACGACTTTGTTGGGCATCATCAAGGTAACAGCTTAGATGCTGGTCTAGGTGGTCTTGTAGTGAGGTCCTTACTTTGGGTTATGGTATTTATCCCTTGGGGAACAGGCAATGACCTTATCATCTTGTGTCCCTTGCTGTTTCATACTCAGCTTTTAATCATCATTTTGCTCATATATGGATGGAAGAAGGCAGTTTAAAATCCCTATTTTTCATTATACCCAATAGTTAGTTAAATCTAAGAAAGAGCCGTGTATTGAATTTTTGTAATAACAGAACAAAATGGTTTAGTCCCCTTAGGCAAGTATCAGGCTCACTCTCTCCCATCCTTCTGTGGTATCTTTAAATTGCATTCAGGCACAGAACACTGAGCTAATCGCAGGCCATCGTGATCACTGATGCACCCAAGCTCCTCTCTGCTCTTACTGTTTCCTTCTTCCTCTTCAGGACACCCTCACCCATTCCCATCCCCCATACCACTCACTCTGTACGTTTGATTGCTTTCCCTAAATATGCAGCTATCCTTATTTTAAACATGGTGTTATGTGTGCATGTGTTTTTTATTTATTTAAATCATATTGTGCTCTAAGTCTCATTCTTTTTCCAACTTTTCTCACTTGTTAATGCTTTTGAAATGTATTTATGTTGCTATGAGTCAGGTAGTTGGTTACATCCTACTCCTGCATGGAATTCCACATTTCACTTAACCATTCCCTGTTCACAGACCCCTGTGTTGCCCATTTTCTACCTCTGCTCCCCGTTATCATAAACAGTGTCAAGATGAGCATCTTCAAACATGTCCCCATTGAAGACCTACAAGAATTTCTCTGAAATGTGCCTTCCTAGGAGTGGGGCACTGAATCTTAGGGCATATTTGTACTTAATTTGTCTCAAAACGGCCAGATTGCCTTCTGAAATGACTGTTTCCTGAGTGTCTACCTTTATTTTTGCCAGGACTCATTATTATCCACTTTGTAACTTTTGCTCTTCTAAGAGGTATAAAGCAATATATCATGGCTGTTTTAATTTGTAATCCTGTGACATCTAGTAATGTGCTCATTCACATAGTTCCTGGCACTTTTATTTATTTTTCCACTTACCTGGCATCAGTAGAATCTGCACATTGCTGATTTTTTTTTTTAAAAAATTATCAAATTGCCAGATTAATATTTCTGTTAATAAAACCCAAGAAAATACAAGAAATGAACCTAAATAGAAACCGAACTTCAGTGTATGGTTTTTGTAAGTGTGCTGAAAAAAATACCATTGTATTCCTGAAACAGTAATAGTCCATTAAACTATGCAGAGAGCACACATACAGATTACCACTTCTAACTAATCCATAAATAGATGGTAAATCCTAGAACCAGATTAAGCATTTTACATGCAAAGTGACCAGTATAGGAAGGATGTAATAAAACCTAATAATGAGCGATAATTCTCAAAAGAAAGACTGCTTTCCTTTGTGAGTCTTTAGCCACAATCTTTCAGATAAAAAAAGAGCAGAGGAACTATCATCTTGACCCCATTCAGCCCAAGTAGACTAACAACTCAGGGCTTTTTGTAAAGAATCCTGTGACTTCCACTAATGTTTAACCTCCAAGTATTAAGGCTCTATTTCAAGTACTTAAAACATTAAGTTTCCTTTAGTCAATATGACTCAATACCTATTAATGTTCATCATTAGAGGTAGCCAAAAAATGGGAATAATCTAAACATTTATCAGTAAGAGAATGGCTAAATATATCATGATGTATTCATACTATGGATCATTCTGCTGCCATTCCAAAAGAATTTGCCACTGGAATATTTTTAAAACTTAAAGGGAAAAAAGCAAATTTCAAAATGTGTGTGTGTGTGTGTGTGTGTCATATTATGATCCCATTTAGATTATTTTAAATTAATATGTGTTTAAGGACAAATATTTACATACATAAATTAATAGAGAAAGGTCTGGGGGATCCACATGAAAACTTAGCTGTTGTTAACTTCAGGGGAGGGAATACAGCTGTGAGGGAGGGGCTTTCTCATAGCTATGAACGCTCCATGGATAGGTGAACATCTAGGAAGGATTGGAAGGGCTATTAAGACCTTTAGATGTATGAAATTTAACTCTTTTCACTAAATATGTTCTTTTTTTTAATCAAAGTATTATTGATATACAATCTTATATTGGTTTCAAGTATACAACACAGTGGTTCAACAGTTGCCCACATTATTAAGCCCTTATGCCCACTAGTGCAGTTACTATCTGTTACATAGGAAGATGTTACAGGATCATTGACTATATTCTCCATGCTATACTACCATCCCCATGACCAACTTATATTATGATTGAGAATTTTTGTGCCCTGTTATACCCCTCACTCTCCCCACCCACTTTCACTCCAACCCCTCCCCCATGGTAACAACTAGCCACTTCTCAGTGTCTGTAAGTCTACTGCTGTGTTGTTCATTCTGTCTGCTTTGTTTTTATATTTCACAAATAAATGAAATCACATGGTATTTGTCTTTGCCTGGCTTTCACTACGTCTGTTCTTACAGGGAATGTTTCTTTGGAAACTTTTTGTGTTCTTTCTTTGATTTTGTTTTCATTGCTTATGCTTATCTATAATTAACCTTTTTGCTGTAAAATAGAGCAGAGATACTAAAAGCTACAGAAACACTTGTGTAGTTTAATGGATTATTATCATCACCACTCAAGAAATACAGTTTAGCCAGGTCTCAACCTAGTTCCTCCTCATGTGCCCCAACCTAATATCGCTCTCTTTGTTGATGGTTTTATTAGCCAAAATAATCTCTAGATACAGGAGGTTTAGACTTGCCCATTGAAAAAAAAATATGTTAAGTCTTTTTTAATTTTCAGGTTTCTCCTCCATTCCTGTCTCGCCAAGGCCTTTGACCTGTTGTTTCTCCAGAGTCTGCATTTTGCTAATCACTCAGTCATGATGTAGTTCAATGTGTTTCTCTGGCTTTTGTGTCTTCGGCAACTTTCATTGCAGCTGTTTCTCTTGAAGTTTAAATATAATCAAACACAGATGGAACCCATCAATTGTCTTTATGACTTTTGAAAATAATGGTTCTTTGCAAATTAAAAGTGAAAGAAACAAGTCTCAGGGATTCCAAAGGAGTGGGTTAAAACTATCTGATAGGATGCTGTCTTTGAGAGAGCAACAAAAGTTTTCTCATTACAGAGAAAAGAATCAGCAAAATAAGCTTACAGAGTTAGATAGCAGATCTGCTTTCCTGTCCTCTCTCCCTAATTACAATCATCATTCCGAGAATGCTGGAAGAACAGAGAATTGCTAAGTCTGCAGAGTGGTCCTGCCCAAAGCTTGTTGGCCCCTAAAGGTACAGATGCCCTGAGATGACATCCGGAGACAAGACACACACTGAAACCAGATGCAGGCCCTTCTTTGCAGTACCTCATCCTGGTGATAAGAAAAGTCACTTGTTAACTTTCAACAAAATGATTAAAATGTGAGGGCAATTTAAAACTCTCTATACCCACCGTCTTTGAAATATCACATTGTAAAATCATCATCACGGATTTTTCTGAGATAAACCAACTCCTAAAGAGGTGACAGCTTTATGCGTTCGGTCCAAGCTGCACAAGGTGAGAGGGGGGCCACAAAGGGAAAAGTCCCAATCATTCAGAAATGAAGTAAGAAGGGTTCCACCAGGGGTTCTGGAAACCTTCCCCCCTGGATCTCTTCAGAACTGAACTTTTCCTCCCTGCTACTTACTTCTTTTTGATTTGTACTCAGGTGGATCCAAAGCAGTTGCTAGAAGATGGAATAAGGAAGGAGCTAGTTAAATGTGTTGTTTTGCTCTTCATAGGGGCTTGATATTCAACCCTCGAGCCAAGGTACCAGATGACCAAAATAGGGCTGTCCTTTTTCTCTATTCTGCTTGCGAAAGGGACTAGAACACCATTCGAAACTCTTGTGAAGCAGACCTTTCCTCCTGTCTAATGTATATCTAATATATAATGTTTGGTACAAATGATGTGCTTTTTGATTCTATACTGTAATCCATTCATATTATAAGAAAATCCCTTTAAAACCAGCCTTTTGTAATTGCTGATCCCCAAGTTTAGGAATTGAACTGATGTTTATGATTCAGAGTTACTTCTTATCATTGTAAGAATTTGTTAACCCGAAAGCAGATAGGAGCATAAAGTCTTAACTTTTTATTTTGCTCAATCTTTTAGGGAATATGGTACTTTTTCTCAGGAGAAAAATAAATACGCCTGAAATTTATATCTATGGTACTTTTCACCTCAGTAAATTCAAGGTAAAATATTTTAAGTGTTTTAGGATTCAATATATTCATCAAGGGACATGAGAGAAATCATCAACATTCATTTTTTACATTCTTTTGTCTGAGGCTTCCTTGTGAAGTCTATTGTTTGCTTAATGCCTGACACAGGTTACCACCCACCCTAGATGAGGTAAGAAATGAGTATTTCCAAAGCTGTCTTTAACTGTCACTGTGATCTCTCAGTTGGGGTACCACTTAAAGTCTAATGTAGATATTAATGGTTGACAGTCTATTCTAATGTCATAGATTTGTTTCCCGTTTTGCACAGCCAAGTGAATTGATGCCCAAGCTGAAAGAGTTGGGAGCTACCATGGATGGATTCCATCGTTCTTTTGAATACATACAGGACTATGTTAACATCTATGGTCTGAAAATCTGGCAGGAAGAAGTATCTCGTATTATAAATTATAATGTGGAACAAGAGTGTAATAACTTCTTAAGAACAAAGGTATCTAAATCAGTTTTAAATTCTTGACTATATTTGTTATTTCTGACATTTAAAACACACTCCCCAAACCTCAGAAATGCCAACAGAAAAGCTTGTTTAAATGGCTATACAAATCAGTAAGCACTATTTAGTCATAATACTTTCAGAGTACCTTCAGGAGTTGTGAGAATTAGAGAAAAGTGTATATGACACCTGGCCTCTGGGAGTTTACGGTCCTAAGGAGGGAGCAGACATAATTAAATGGCTGCAGAACAAGCTGGCTGTTGTAATTGTTAGAACTCAAGTGATCAAGAATTCAGAAGACTTGGGAGTTCATTTGGGCCCCATCAGAGGATGTTCCTGAAAGCAGAATTGCTGATCATGTGGCGATTCTGTGCTCAACTTACTGATGAACCGCCCAACTGTTTTCCAGGGTCTACCGGCAGTGTCTGAGGATTCTGATTTCTACACATTCTTACCAATACCTAACCAATACTTTTTTTCTTTTCTTTTTTTGTAATGACAGCTATCCTAGTGGGTGTGAAGAGGTATCTCATTGTGGTTTTGATTTGCATTTCCCTAGTGACTGTTGATGTTGAGCATCTTTTCGTGTGCTTATTGAGCATTTATGTATCTTTGGAGAAATGTCTCTCAAGTCTTTTGCCTATTTTTCAATTTGGTTGTTTGAGCAACAGATTCTCAAGTGTCACACTGGGAAGGTTGATTTTAATCAGTAGTAAATAAGGAGCCACTCTTTAAGTTTTTAATTAGGGACATGATTCAGGTGACATTTTTGAAAGTTTAAGTATCTTCCACCTTATGACATTTTGGGTTTTTATTACTACACTGACATATGGTAACTTAAAATAAAATATGAATTGTCTCTTCTCTTTTCCTCAGTCACTTCACTTTTTCACAAATATTTCTTTTTTTATAAATTTATGTACACCATTTCTGGGAAGCTATTAATGCATTTTTTAAAGTTTTCTCTTTAAAACCAAGGAGCATTTATTGTCACTGTTCATGTAACATTATCATTATAAAACCATGTGGAAAAAAGATGAACTAGACTACCTTATCAAAGATGACTAAATATTTATGGTTTGGTTTGGTTTGGTTTTTTTCTAGATTCAAGACTGGCAAAGTGTGTACCAGTCCACTCACATTCCGATATCAAAGTTTACACCTGTGGATGAGTCTGTCACATTTATTGGTTGGCTCTGCAGAGAAATCTTGCAGATCACAGACCCAAAGTAGGTGTATCTGAATTCCACTGGGCCTTGAAAACTGGGGGCAATAGAAGTCCCTAAACGTGTTGCATATGCTCAGACCACACGCTTGTTCCTGCCACCTGTCTAATGCGTTTACTAAACTCATTTTTTCAGGCTGCTGTTTTTTTCAGTGTGACTGTGGAGTCACCAGTCCAAAGAAATGTAAATTACAACCACTATAAGGCTGTTTGGCCCCCTTATTGTCTATGTACCTCTTGTTTTCCAACTAATGTTCTGCTCACCTGGGCAAGACTCTCCTTATTGTAATTGCTCACCTGTACCTGTGTAACTGTGGCACTCTCCCCCATTCCAGTCACTGGGTTTTGCACTTGTCAGCTCTTATCCTGACCTTTTAAGATTACTTCCTTATTTCTTAGCCCCACACCCAAGCACTTGCACTACCAAGAGCTCACATTTATTGAACGCTTGCCTTAAGTGCTTCTCAGCACATTACGCACATCCCTTCATTTACTCATTACAACAGTCTGTGAGGGAGGCATTGTTATTCTTCCCACATTAAAGTAACTGAAACACAGAAAAACTAAGTCACTTGCCCAAGAGCACAGAGTCAAAAAATGGTGGACCCAGAATACACACCAGGCCCTCTGACACTGGAGCCCAACTCTTTTTTTTTTGGTATCATTACTGTACAATTACATGAGCAACATTATGGTTACTAGACTCCCCCCATTATCAAGTCCCCACTACATACCCCATTACAGTCAGTCTCTGTCCATCAGCGTAGTAAGATACTGTAGAGTCACTTGTCTTCTCTGTGCTATACTGCCCTCCCCATGCCCCACACACACATATGTGCTAATCGTCATGCCCCTTTTTCCCCCGTACCTCCCTTCCCACCTGCCCTCCCCAGTCCCT